AAAATTTAGTATATCAAGTTTATATAACAAAAAACTTGATCACAATATAAAAAATAAATAAATAATAATATTTACAACTGAGAGTTTATCTTCCATCACAGATAGTTTCTCACATTTTTCTTTCTCTCCATCTCTTGCCAATAATAATGATGTGATCAAAGAGATGAACAAGAAGGTATAACATTAATACATGGTCATGGAACTTTATAAAAAAGGTGTTGTCTCAAATGTAAAATCCTATATAATAATAATAGAATAGAAAAAGATAATGGTTAATGATAATTTGTTACATTAAATGAAGAATGATTATTTCCGAAATGTAAAATTTTAAATAAACTTATTATAAAACAAAAATGCATGAATCTGAGCCTAGAATGTCTTACAATATACTTACGTTGATCACTAAAGCTTGAAACATAGCTCCTATGTAACCCTTCAAAAGCAACTTGATCATTTGATCATTTTTCACACACATACCAAGAACATAGAAAGCAAAATATACACGTTAAAAAAATACATCTCAGGTTAAACAAATTTTTGTGCGCAGTCACGCGACTTTTTTCCATTCTAAATTCAATTGAAGTCATATGTTTCACAACATAAAAAAGATCAACGATCGATTTTGTCACATGTGATAAAACGAATGTCCACTATGCTTATCAACAATGGGTCTAGATTTTGACAATGAATATTTGATTGCTGAAGCAGCTAAATTGATTGCTGAAACATATTTTAAATTCCTTGCTCCATATATTACATCTACTGCCACAGAACACTTAAAAGGTTTTTTGTTTTCATGTTGGCTTTCATATCATATAAGTAAGAGCCTCTAAAAACTTAACAAGAACTATGTTGTGTTTAGCAAGCCATTCTGAAGGTGAATATAATAATAGATTGTCCAATGTGAATTGTTCTTTATCATTAATTAAATTAATGATGTCATTGTAAATATTATTACATTCCTTTTTTGCAATTTCAATTATAGATTTCAATTCTTGAAATTTGATCATTAAATCTTGAGTTCAATTTTTCTTTTAATTGATTGTTTTCTAATAATAATTTTTTGTTTTCTGATTCCAACTCATTTATTTTTTTGTTGATATTCTGTTATATAAGTGACATATTCTATTCTTTGGTGTTCAGAATTGTTTAGTTGGGTTTTTGCTTTCTCCAACTCCATTAAAAGATTGGTGTAGTTCTGGTTATATTCCTTCAAGATTTCTTGTTGAATTGCTGCATTATCAGTTGTTTTAAATCATTTTCGTTCACTTTCTTCATCTTCTTCTTCTAAAGAACTAGAATGATCTGCTTTTAACTTCTCAAGATAAATATTATTAGCAACAATTTGATTGTAATGCCTTTCACAAATGGAATAATTATCTAAAGAACTTAATTATGAAGATAATTTGGGAAAATATTTAGCAAATGGTTTTATATGTTCCTTTGCTACAAATCCTGATGCTTTCCTCCAAATTTGATCAGTTTTAGTTTCACAGGGTTTCAAATATGACTCAGAATATTGTTGAGTAAGTGCAGCAAATAAGCAGGGTAAGGTATTGACAGTTGGTTTTTGTGTTTTTTTCACTAAAGTAAAAAAAAAATTAAAAAATATATTCAAAAAACATGTTCCTAGCACATAAATTCCTTTGATTTTCAATACAACATACTCTGCGCAATTTAAATGATTATTAGTGATTATTGAGTAATTATGAAAGAGAAAATTGAATATATAGTATTTATTTCAATTATTATAATTTGGATTTTTTAAAAAAAATTTTTTTGTTTACATATTATGGAAACATCACGTAAACTCCATGACTTCATATATGAATTGATCGACGAGGGGGTTCGTATTTTTCCAGAATCGATTTCCATATTGGTAAAATACCTGACTGTATATAGTAGGAAATTTTTGATTATGATAAGGCTACATAGGCTACACAACAGTGTAAAATAAATTCAATCGGCGGTACTAACCAAATTTGAAAATTAGCTACTGATTTATATGCATGACGCAGTTGAAATGCGTCTTTCTGATCTAATGTAGTAAAAAGGTTGGATATAAAAAGAAACAAAACTGTTTTTTTTTTTGGTTAAAATAAAAAAAGTCGTTTTTTATTAATTTTATTAATTGAATTTTTTTTTTTTGAAAATGGAAAATAATACTGCTGAATTTAATTATTCTAATATTACAACTACTAGTAAAGATGATACTTCAGAATCTACCAACGACTCAAGCACCAACATCACCACCATTGATAATGATAATAACAGAAAAAACAGCATATCGTCAAATTCAAACGACTACAATTCCAGCGTAAAAACCACATCTTCTTCTTCTAGTAATACACCATTATCGCCAAAAACCTTTTCTTCAATGATTTCATCTCCATCATTGTCATCAACCAATTCATTGATAAGTGATTATAATAATAATTATAATGATATTTACGAAATAATTAAAAATAAAACCATTAAAGATGACGATAGAAATGATGATGATACGGTGTCAACTATGTCAATTGGAACATGTGGTACGCAACGTACAATTAATTTAAAACTTGCGGATTTGATAAAAGAAAATCAAAGAATAGAGAAGGGTGATGATGGTGATGCAATAGGGGAAGGGTATGTAGGATATGAGGCTGATGGAAATAATTTAAAAATAGAATATTTCCAAAATAAATCACAAGGATTTTTTGGAGAAGTTGAGAAAGAAGATATGAAAGTGGAATTAGACGATGCAGGAGTTTTTGATTTTGACGATGATAGTATATCGATGATCAATGATAATGTATCCATAGTAGATTCAGTCACGACGTCACTTACCGGTTTACATATAATGGATTTTAATGAAAGGCAAATGAAGAAATGTCTAAAACTAGATGAACAACAATATGATATTTATAATTCGAAATTTGCTAATTGTAATAATAATATTAATGGCACTTTTACTAATATCAATAATAATATAAATGGTATCAATGTTCCTAAATCTATATCATCATCTTCAAGTTTTACCATGAAACAGACTAGAGCAAATACAATAGAAGCGGGGATAAAGGAGAAACAAGAATGCTTGCTCACATGGGTGAAATTATTATGGCCACAGCCAAAATTACCAACTACAAAACAAGCTATAGATAGTTTAAAATATTTTACTAATCCACAATTGTCGTCATCACGATCATCATCTTCATCGTCATTATCATCCCCACGAAATCATTGTATTTTATCAACGTTAATAGCTGGAGTGGTGTGTAGAAGCTTTAATAATACAATGGTATTTACAGCAGAAGTTACTGGTACCAAATATCTAAGTCCTAATGAAAAAAGAAAACAACGATTAAACGAAAGGAATACGTATTGCACACCGAAAATTGTAACCCACTTGTACGATCCAAGAGAATTTTTATTAATTCATTGTCCAAGTTATAAGAACCCGCCCAGTTACAACAACGATCCAAGAAATCCGTGGGATCACTCGTTCATCCTTGAAAAAGTGTTACCAAAGATAACGGCAGAAAGTATTCAAGTACAAGATCAACCCGGATTATTCGTAACTGTCAAAGAAACACTTATGAGAGGTTTGGATACGTATTATATCTATGAGTGCAAGAAATGTATGTTTCGTGGCTATGTCAGTACTTTTAATTATGACGGTATTCGTCGTCATATAAGTAAGAGTCATAGGGATGTTGTTGCTGTGGTGGATGAGTTAATTAGAGTGAATCCGAAAGAATACGTGATAGCGTTTGCACAAAATTTACCACCTAAAATAAAATTACCGTAGAAATGAAATGCATAGGACGGAGTGAAAGGATGCAAAAGTATTGAAGGGTGTGAATGTGTGTGAGGAGGGTAGGAGGTGGAAGAGTGAAGTAGTAAAAATAATATATGTATAAATTGAATATAATATATTTAGATTTGATTTTTTTTTTTTATTTATTTCTTTGTATTTATTTTCTTTGTATTTATTTTCTTTGTATTTATCAAAATAAATATCGATATTTGGTGATGTCATGATTATGCTTAAATATCTGATCAATTTAATAATATTTATTTTATAATTATATGATCAACTTAATCAAACATCCTAAATAAATATATCAAAAGTTAGACATCATGTAACTAATGTTTTATCAGATCAATTCATTATAATTTACTATTATTGAAAGATCAGATCATATTATAAGAAAAATAAATAAATAGAGAGAGATGATATTATGATTGATTATTTAATAATAATAAAAAAAGAGAATTTAAAGAAAAGAATTTAAAAGAGTAAGAAAAATAATAATTACTAGACAAGATGAAGAACTAAAAATAAAAATAAACAATTTGTAATTAACATATATATATATAATTATAATATTATTAATATTAAATCAATAAAAAAGAACAAATACACCAAAAAACATATATATTTATATATATAATATTTTTTTGATTTTGTATGATTCAAATTATAATTTAATTAATATATATATATAAAAATATATATATTATATATTCTCCATATTCCAAACATGTATTTTTAAATATAATTAATTAATTAATATTTTTTATAATGATCATAATTTTTATAAATAACATTAATTTCATTTCATTTACAAAACCATACAAGTACTTTTCCTTTTTTTATTAGTCAAAAGTGCAGCCCTTGTAGCATGTTCAAATACTTCACGTACTCCTTCACCAGTTTTGGCTGAACATTCAAGATACTTGTATGCTCCAATTCTTTGAGCTACTCCCATACCCTTAATAATTATTAGAATAATGATCGAAATTAAATTTTATAATTAGATTCATTGATAGAATTGAATGTAAATTTTTTTAAAAAGATCAAGAAATGGAGAATTATTACCTCTTCAGTTGTAACAGGTCTTTGGGATGTTTTACGTAATTCTTCAATTGTCTTGGGGTCAAATCTTAAATCTTTCTTACATCCAACTAAGATGATTGGCAAACCTTGACAAAAATGCATCACCTCTGAAATCCACTATTTATGTATATATTGAATGAATATTTAATGTTAATGACACAATGATATGTAATACGCAATAATATAAATTTATAATATTACTTTTTCTTGAACGTTGTCTAAAGAATCTGGAGAATCCACAGCAAAACAAATCAAAATTACATGTGAGTCTGGATAGGAAAGAGGTCGAAGACGATCATAATCTTCCTGGCCTATTTTTTTATAATTTATGAAAAAAAAAAAAAAAAGAATTTACAAATAAATAATATATATATATATTATATTATATATTAATTAGATATTGTATATTTTATATATACACATATATGAATGATATCATTACCAGCTGTATCCCATAAAGCTAATTCAACTCGTCTACCATCTACTTCAACGTCAGCCACATAATTTTCAAAAACAGTGGGAACATAAACCTGTTGTTATTTATTATATTATAATAATAATAACAATAAAGTTAATTAATATTTTAAAAATAGAAATGTTATTCCAAGAATAATTTTATTTCATATTTAAAATTACTACTACAATGCTTAATATGATCAAAGAAAACTATTATTATTAACCAGCAAAGCCAGAAAATGAAATTATCAAGAGAAAATAAAAATGTTGGCTCATACCTCAGGGAAGGTACCTTTGGAAAATACAATCAAAAGACATGTTTTACCACAGGCACCGTCACCAACAATTACAAGTTTTCGACGAATCTCAGCCATTCTATTTAAAAGAGTGAAATAAATAGAAAGTGACAATGGAAGAGAAAGTGGTAAAGAGAGAGAAATAAATTCCAAACGATAACTGATATTAATTTTTCTTTTAATGATAAGTGAATTATAGATTATTTAAACAAAAACTTACATTTATTTATTATTTTATTATTTATAAAGTCTTCAATATAAATAAATGTGTATGTATGTATATATTATTATAATAATAAAATATATATAGAAGTTTCAAATAACTTTACCAAGAGAATGAGATTTTATTCTAGAGAGATGAGAGATGAGAGTACAAAAATAAAATAATATAAAATATTGTAATATTATTATAATAATAAATAATAAATAAAATAAATAATAATTATTATTATTATAATAAGAAGGAGTAAAGACTACGATACTAAACTATAAATTTTACTATTACTACTGCTACTAATAGTAGACAAAATTGGCACAGTTTTTTAAATAATAACGGTAGAATTTGAATATTTTTTTATCGGAACAAAACGGTAATTTTTTTATATATAAAAAATAATAATAGGAATATTTAACGGTTATTTTTATATTTTATATTAGTTTATTTTAACCTTAATAGTTTTAAACTACTTCATTCATTGATGAGGTTGAATTGACTTTTTGTCTGAGTTTTAATTAACTGTCTGACTTTTATAATTTTGTTTTCGTCATTTTTTAAAAAATCAATTTTATTATCCGTTGTAGTGTACAAACATATGATGTATGTATAATTAATTAATTAATTAATTAAAATCTTAGCAAGAAAAATAAAATCTTTATAAATTAGTAAAATGATAGTGGCGTGATATGTAGTAACATTAGAAAGTGGCAATAATATAATTGGTAAATGGTGATAGTGTGTATTCATCATCTATCACTCAAAAAAAAAAAAATTTTTTTTTATTATCTTTTAATCTTTTTCCTTTGCCAAATAATTAATTGTGTGACTATATATTAAATAAATATAAATTTTTTATTATAACAAAATAAATTATTATACATCTTTTTTTTTAAATCAAAACTAGCAAAAATGGTAAGTTTTCAATTCGTTTTACCTTCCATTGAAGTAGCTAGATTTATCTGGATTTATTTATTCATTCATTATAATTCTAAAAATAAGGCAAGTGGAGTTACAGTTGCTGAAACGGCTAGAGATCTGTATGAAGCGTTAAAAAAGGACAAGAAACATCGGTACGTCTTCTTCGAAATGTCTGAGGATAAAGGTTCCATTGTTGGAAAGAATGGTGCCTCGGGTCCTCGTGATGCAACATATGATGATTTTCTTGCCAATTTCGAAGAGACCAAACCATGCTATGCTCTATATGATTTTCATTATGAGAAACCCGGTGAAGGTCAACGTGATAAAGTTATATTCTACTCGTGGTATGTATTTATTTGAATAAAAAAAATATATCTGGGAAAATTGTTATTACAATTATATAATTATATTGTTCCTAATAAATATATATATATACATTAATTATAATAAAAACAATTATAATTATTATTATTATTTCTAATATTATTGCCTTTATAGGATTCCCGATACTGCCAGCATCAGGGATAAAATGATTTACTCTTCTAGTAAAGTGGCTCTGAAGAAATCATTTGATGTAGCCTTTGAAATACAAGGAACTGATCCATCTGAAATTTCTTATGAAACTGTTCTTGAAAAAGCTCTACGTTCCAATTAATTAATTAATTAATTGACTGATAATGTATTTGTTTTTTGGTTATCAAAATCAAATAAATATATTTTATATTTTTATATTTTTATAATGAATGATACTGTTAGCTAGCATTTATTATTTTGTGTAATCAAAATATCACGTGCTCTCAAATGTAAATAAATAAGTTTTTTTTAAAAAAGCCTGTATTTATTTAAAAAAAAAAATGATTAATAAAGCAAAGATTACTAATAACAAACCTGGTGCCTCTCTTACGAGAAAGTATGTTTTATTTATTTTTTTGATCCCTTTTTAATAATAATAGAATAATAATGATTGAATCTTTTGATTTTTTAGATATCCAAGTTCAACTACACATGCTACATCAAATACACAATGTCAAAAGTGTTTAGAATTTGGTCACTGGGTAATTAACTAGCTTAACTCTTTCTCTTAATAATAATAAATAATCGTTTATCGTTTATGTTGATTATTTATTTTTTCTAATTGGTATTTATTTTCATTTGTTTTAGACATATGAGTGTAAAAATAGTAGAGTTTATAAAGCACGTCCTACAAGAACTCAACAACTATCAAAACCTTTAAAACCAATAGCTGTTGAACTTCCCGAGGAATTTAAATCAAAGTAATTAATTGATTAAAGAGATTCCAGTAATATATATATATATATATGTGTGTATAATTTATATTAATTTTTTATTATTATTAAATAACGTTTTTAGAAAAGATAGAAAAGATGATAATGTTGTTGTTATTTTAGAAAAACCAGCAGCAACTAAAGAATTAAAACGAAAAAGAAAACAAAAGAAAGAAATGTATGTTCTTGCAATAATAATATTATATCATCATCATTATTAATTTATTCATTCACTTATTCATTTAATTATATAGATATAATTGCCAATTAACCATATTTTATTTTTTTTAAATAGATTATCATCATCATCATCATCATCATCATCAAGTGACACCGAAAGCATATCTTCCTCTTCCACCTCATCATCGTCTTCTTCTAGAGGTGCGTCTTATTCTTCTACTGGTTCGTCATCATCATCGAAAAGCTATGATTCAGATAATAGTGGTTCTAGCTCTGATATTAGCAGTAGTGATAGTGGTAATATTAGTGGTAGTAGTCGCGAAAATCATAGTAGTAATAGAAGAAGAAGTGGTGGTAAAAGTAGAAGTCGTCATCATTATCGTCATAATCATGATAGTAGTAATCGAGTTGATAAAAGGATGAAGGAGGATAAGGGCGTGGATGATATTAGAATTGGTGGTGGTGATGTTAGAACTCGCGACGATAAAAAAATTCCTGCCGCTGCTGCGGTTGATAGAAGAAAATATTTTGATGATATTGATAAAAGATTTGACGGTAGAGGTAGTGGATATGATAGAAAATATGATGGTGGTAGAAGAATAGGTGATAAAACATACGATGATAAAAGTCACCATGATGATAGAAGCGATGAATATGATAGAAGATATGATGGTGATAGAAGAATGGGTGGTAAAACATACGATGATAAAAGTCGTGATGATAGAAGTGGTAGAAGATATGATGGTGATAGAAGAACGGGTGATAAAACATACGATGATAAAAGTCGTGATGATAAAGATGGTAAAAGATATGACGATGATGGAAGAATTAGTGATAAAACATACAATGATAGAAGTCGTAACGATAGAGGTGGTGGATATGATAGAAGATATGATGGTGATAGAAGAATTGGTGATAGAAAATACGATGATAGAAGTCATCGTGATGATAGAAGACATTATAATTTGACGAAAAATTACTAAAATTAATTACTATTATTATTGAATTAATTTGTATTAATGTTTTTCGATAGCATTAATCATTTATAACATGCATTTCATCAATGAATTTTCATTCTTCCTTTATAAGTTTGTTTCACAAGATGAATAATCAATCATATTGCTGCACCACGTTCTGGAATTTTCAAATCCAAAATAATTAGTTCCCTTTTTTGATTTTGATTTTTCTCTTTATCCAACCAAATTTATTCTCCTTTTGTAACTATGGTCTTTTTGGCCTCATAGTGGCTTAATCTTTATTCTACTAATCGTTTAGGCTTAGTGACATTAAATAAATCATTTGGATTAATAAACTATCCGAATTTTTTGGATCAAATACAATCACAAGTTGATTCACATTGCAAATTTTTGTCGACTGTTACAAGTGGTCATCAAGATATTCTAATAAAAGTACTCGTATCCGTTCATTATCAATTTATCTCCTTTTAATTCAAAAGTTTGATTTTATAACATTGGTTGAAACATTCTATTTGATAAACTTTACTCTTTAGGTCTCCAATGCTTCATCAGAATCATCAATATTGAAACAGTGTTTATCCTTTTCATTGGAAAGTTTTTAACTGATTTGTGTAATTTTAATCTTTCTTCTGGCATTGGCATTAAGGCTCTTATTGATTGTGCCACTGACTTAGCATAGTTATGCTTACATGTTGATGGAAAAGTGCACTTAGAACAACTAAAACATCTCTCTGAATTTCAAAATTCCATCCCTTATTCCAATTCATATAAATGTGAAAACTTTGAAAATGTCATTTTGATCATAGAATAAATTACGTTGATTCATATTAAAGTTATTCTGACAACTCCCAAATAAGTAATCTCAAGCTTGTCAAAAAAACTTGACAGCAACCAAATAAAGTAGCCCACAACTTGAAATCATACACAAATATCCTTCAAAGAGGTGCCGTTGACCCAGTATTGGACGAGTAACTTACGGACTACAGTTACAATTTTATTAAATGAAAAACCTGTCTTTTTCTTTATAGAAATTTAAAATTTTTCGATTGATAATTAATTCAGACTCTATTTCATTAATAATTTCATCGATTTTTTTGGTTTATTTTAGCTTTAGCTTTATAATGAAGCAAAGTAAATGAAAAGCTCAGGAAATAATCCATAGGAACATTCACTTTTAAAAGTAAGCCGTTAAAGATTTGCAGTTTGATTTGTTTATCAAACACATGCCATTATCAAATGGTTGATCAAACTCAACCCCTCTAGATAGTGAATTTTGAGGGTGTTCAATGACTACTACTTATGAATTAAGGGAAAGAACAAATGAATGATTTATTAAACTTATGAAGTTTCTGCTTTAAATAGTTTTATTAATATTTCTTTTTCAAATTTTTCCTATTAAAATACCAACCATAAAATATTACACTTGCAGCAATAAATCCAAGAACAAGTCTCACATAAGTACCAGTTTGTTTTCAGACAAAAGACTTTTTTTTTTGCTTCTTGGCTAGAAATCCTAGTCACCTTTAACCGGGAAATTGTGTTCCCCAATAATTGCTTTGAATATGAAAAAATCATGTTATTGACCTTGATGAAGCGAAGATTTTGTATTAAAAAGATTATATAATTCTAGTAGTAAGATATTAATAATTTTTAGTTGAATTTTGTAAACCACTGTAATAATAATGCTTCAGATGGGCAAAGTAAAAAATGAATGTTTTATTGTATTAACATTAAATTCCAGATTATTTTTTTTCCTACGATATAATATGAGAATATGTGGTTAGGGACCTCCCTGAGCTTTTGCATAATAATAATATTACAAGGATTACAACTAGTGACCATCATGTTTGCTAATACGAGACTTTGAAAAACATACGTTACTCAAAAAATATTATTACTACTGTACCACGTTTTGCGCGATTCATGTTACGCGTTTCAAAAATTTAATAAATTGTATATACCAAATGATAAAAGAAAAGGTCTTTGTAGCATTTTATTAAATGAATCATTTGACTAATAAAAACTCTACCAGTTGTAAAAAATTTATAAAAAACTATCATTATGAATTTTTTAATAAATCAACAGATGAACTTAGATAGTTTAAAAAAAGAAAAATATAAACAGAGAGTAAAAGATACTCTTTGCACTAGATGAAAGGTTTGTCATTATTAATGAAGCAATAAAAAACAAAATAATATGCAATGGTTCAAAAAAAATAAAGTTGAAAAATTAACTGATAAGTAATATTCTGGATTACATACAATAAACTTAGTAACATTGGATACTTAACTAAAAGGGGTTTTGATCAACGAATTTGACAAAATTGATGTTATATTAAAATATTATTGTAAGAGGTAAAAATTTACCTGGTACAATTTTTACTATTATTAGATATTTTATATTAGTTAAAAGTAAATTTTGTATGATAATATTAAAGATTTAAAAATTACTTGGGAAGTGAGTAAGTATTATTATTATTTATAAATATTTATAATAATTTTTATTACTAGTATGAATTAGATTCATGAAAAAAATTAACACTCATTATGACTTGCACAGTGGTAATATGGTCAATTTATTAGCACAGGCCAACATTGAAGTACAATAATAAATGAAAAAGATGAAAATTTGGTACCTTGCACCTGAAGTATTATCAAAAAACCATACACTAAAGAATCAGATATTTACAGTCTTGATACAATTATGTGGGAGATCTAGGGTTGCTTGCCAAACCACTTAGTGATTACCAAAACTCTACTGAAACTCTATTATCAGTCAGTTCGTTTGTAGTTGATTAACCACCTAATCTGGTGCACTATCAATTCTTAATACACTACCAACTGCTTTGTAAATTCATGAAACCTGTTTAGAGTATGTTATGAATTTCTGGTATTGGATTAGATTTGTTCCATCCAGCCATATCAGGTGCTGAAGCATGCACAATTATAATAGGTAACATGGGATTAAAGGATATGAAATAATAAATAACAAACTTCAAGATGTAATAATAATATATCTGGTTCATCAATGACAAAATCATCTACATTTGTACCAAGAACAACACCAAACTCCCGCAGCTTCATAACTACATACATACATACATAAGATAATGTTTATATAGCCTAGTGCAAACATTTACATATACCTAATAATGATATCATATAAATTACAGTATCAAAGAAATTTGGTTTACAAAAAAGACAATAAATAATATCTCACTTTCTTTCATCCTCTAATAACCTTCTCTATAATCCATACATTATACTTAAAACATTTGATTTATGAGCAATTGTTACTTTGGTCTTTTGGAATTCCATAATCATCGTTCAATAGGGTATTGTTGACTCAGTGTATCTCAAAGCAATCTTGAATTACATCTTTTCAATGCACATTTCGATGTCTTTTGATCTGCTCATGCCACCTTTAATCCTGCCTTCTCATCGTTTTTTGTCTTTCTTGTTTTATATATTAAATCAATTTCGCCAATCATGTGTGGAAAATCTATTAGCATTAGTGATCTGCAGGATATTTAAGGTTAAAGATTATTTTTGTTGAGTCTAATTTCACAAAACACAAATTGTTTGCGCCTAAGAGCAAAAAATTTTCAATTAATCAAAAATAATCATTCTTAAGATCATATCAATCAGGTGATAATACAAAGATTGAAGCTAGTTAAATAGAAATTATAAACTAAAAGAAAAGAAACAAATTGTCTTCCCTTGACTCTAAAAATATTTGGGCATCATTTGTATTGTTTTTTCGATTGAAATAAATTTAGATTTCCTGTCATGTAAATTTTACACAGATTGGGTAGATTATCATTTTTTTTTTAAAACAAATAATATAATATTAATATATAAATAAAAATGTTAATATCATTTAGATTTTTATTTTTTAAAAATAATAGAGTAATTAATAAGATAATTAAATATAACAATAACAGCAACATTAATATAAAATTAAATTTTATTCATTCAAAAAATGTTGATATACAAAATAAATATTACCCTTACAAAAATAGCAACAGCAGAAACAGCAATAGTAGAATAACCAATTCTTCAAATATATCATTATCAAATGAGCCAACAACAAAAAAAGAAGTTGTAAAATATCCGGAGAAATATAATTTTTTGCAGTTGAGAAATGCAATTCTTTCTAAAAGATTAAAATTGGCCTGGGAAATATATTCTGATAAGAAGAATAGAGAAGGTTTACTTTATGTGGATTATTGTGATTTGATAAAATTGTTAAGATTTGGTGAAAATACATATATGTATGATATTAGAGAAAGATTAAAGCGAATGGAGCAAGTTAAAGATGATGTTATTGAATTGAAGATGGCGCATGATATTGATATTTATGATGTTATTATTAAAACGTATTTGAAAATAGGTGATTTTGAGGGTGTAAAGAAGACTTGGAAATTGGTATTGGAGCAAAATGAAAATTTCCCAAGAGATGTTATACCAAGCAAAGATACATTTAATACAATGATTGAAAGCATTTTACAAGAAGAAGGATCAATAGCATCAGTTTTAACAAAAAATGAGGTGGTGATTGAACATTTAAAGAAGTTTCATGAATTTTGTAGAAAGAAGAAATTTAAGATGAATGAAGATGTTTATATTACATTTATTATTGCGTTTGCAGATTTAGGTGTGGTAGAATACTCTGAGAAATTATTTGATGAATATTTATATGAAAAAGAAAAAATGTCAGTTAAAGAAATTAGTTCCAAAGTTTGTGACGTAATAATAAGTCAATATCTCAGGGATTCGCTTTTTAACTTGAATAGAGCAAATGGATTATATGATAAAATAGTATTTAAAGGTATTAGACCAATGAAAGAAACATTTAATAGACTAATCAAAGCATATTTTGATAGTTCAGAATATAAAAAGGCAGAGAATTTTTATGAGAATGAATATAGGAAACGTAATGCTGGTATTGATGTAACAACTATCAATATTATGATATTGGGATGTTTAAAAGCTATTGAACAACATTTTGATAATACAGAACATCATGAATCAGTTTTTGTGCATCGCAACGTTGTAAATGTCAACAAATATTTTCAACAAGGAATTAAAAAAAAATTTATAATTGAACAAGCTACATTTGATAATCTTATAAGAGTTTTTGGAAAACTCGGGAAATTTCAAGAAATAAATTATTATTTTCAACAAATGAAGTCGTTTGAGACAAAGCCAAATTTACCAATCTATCACACGTTAATAGAAATTTACGGAAAAGGTAGAAAAGTATCAAATATTATGAGGTTGTGGTATGACTTGATTGATAATATGAACCCAACTATTGATACATTAAAGATTTTTATAAAATCAATGATTTCATCTAATGAACCCAAACTAGGAATGGATTTTATGGAGGAGGCAAAAGAAAGATTCGGCGAGAATTGGAATAATTATGAAGTTTTAAACGAAATTGAGAAAGAATTTAAAGAGCAGTTTGAAAAAGATAAATATTTAGCTGAGTCATTTTATGAATTAGAAAAATTATTAGAAATTAAATAATGAATTATTTATTTTCCTAAAATTAATTATGTATTTAAATTTTATTAATTATTGTTTGTAACTTCAATCATGTACAAATTCATTTTATTTGAATGAAATATTATTACTCTATAAAGCAAAAGGTGATCTGACCTACTATTTAAGGGTCTCCAACAGATTACAAATCTATTATCCGAGTTTTTTTAATGCGATAAAATTTTGGTACCCAGATATCCATAAAAAAATTTAATACTGCAAGGTACCTTTCTATCATTTAACAAATATGGCCGATTATGACTTAATTTTTGGGCTACTCTTATCAGTTAATTTCAATACACAATAATTCAATTAGTACCTAGAAACTTCGGCGAACTTGAATTCGAATAACTATAAATAAATTTTTTATAAAGTTCAAAGCTTCTATAAAGCTCTTTATATTCACTATGACCAATTGATTCCAGTCATTTACATTAATTGGCCGATTCCCAAACTCGCTTACTACTTAACTTAACAGCTTGTTTAACGGCCTCGCTTTACAATAACAGTTTTATTACAATACCACTATCAATATTTCCAATTAACATTTTGACAATATAAAGCAAATAAAACATAGCTTTTTACCAAAGCTCCCAATTGTTTCCTTTTTACCGAGGCACTACACTTGTTGCATTTGCCAAAATGCTTTAAACGAAAAACAAGAAGGTTGTTTTTATTTTAAAAGCTTATTATTTGTTTTCGTTGAAGAAAGTTTGCGTAGAAAAATTTCAACATTCGATTGAAGTTCAACGGTGAATTTTTATCACAATCCCGCTAAATCAGCATTGTGTAGTTTCCGGACCCTGGATAACTGTACCAAAATATTTTTCATATAAGAATTCAATGTCACGAAATTTCTGTCATTATTGTCATTATTGTTGTTATTATCAATCATGATTTTTATTGCTACCATCTTTAACTTTTATATTGTAGAATAATGAAGATACCAGGAAAACTACATCAAGGAAAATCTATTTAGAAAGCACTTGCTTATTATCTAATTACAGTCAAAGACTATTTTTGTGTAAAAGTTTTATTAGATTAATTATCCAAAATTAAAGGTTGATTAATTGCCTTTTCACTGAAAGATATTTATACTTTATTGATCAGTAGAGATTCGTACAACTTTCAATTCCGTACACAGTGAGTCTCGTTATAGCGGATAATTTGGGCAATTAGAACAAAAAAATTTCAAAAATCCGTTATACCGAGCTTAATATTAATTCAAGATTTAATTAGTAAATCCGTTAAACCGAGAGAATTTACTTATAGACGGTTCTGAGCTTTGATCCGTTAAACCGAGAGTTTTATTAGACATCCGCTATACCGAGACTTACTGTGTACAATATTTTGTTATTATTATTATTATCTCTTGAACGGTTTTTCGGCTATTGATAGCCGAAATTTTTTTTCGGTTATAAAAAACTTTTTCTGAAGGTATCACTTCCTAATACGAAAATGATCTTTGATATTCAGCTGATTGATCTGTGAATAAAAATTCGGTTGTTGTTCTTGTGGTTTTTGTAAAATCTTCCTTAAAAGTTTGACTATTTTTACTTTGCAGATCATTAAATTGGCCAATAAGAATCCAAGATCGTGATCAAAAAATCATTTTGTGTTACTATTAGAGATAATAATATATAATAATAATAATATTATTAATCCTAGTTAAGATGACAGATGACAGCAACAATGGAAATTTTATTAGAAAATTTTTTGGGTTGTAAATTTTGTTTTTATTAAATAAATTTGTTTGATTTTTCATACATTGTTCATTTCCGTCTCAATCATGTATCTTAAATTTGTTGTGTTTACAATCATTTCATTGACATTCATTATATTAAGGTTATTTTGATTATATTGAGAGATATGGTCAAGAGAAGAGTTATTCTTCAACCAAGTCAAAAACCAACCCTTTAAATACATTTTCAAGTAGTACATTTTAATTATTAGACTATTTCAATGGTTTGTTGCACGGTTGCATCCAGCTTCTTAAATTCATTAACTAAACAATTGTTGGTGAAGTGATTGTTGACAAAATGAATTAAACCCATATTTATTTTTACGTTATCAAATTCACGATTTTAATTGGTCAATCAACAAATTGCATGGACTAAAATTTTGTGTTCCCAGAATGGTCTCTCCTGTTACAGGATGGATATTGAAGTGATTGTTTTACTAAAATTTCATTATGATATGTACATATGAATAAAGTAGATTTATTATATTCAGCAATACTTCATTTTGTATAAGTAAAAACTAGCAATGTTATAAGTGTTATTATTATGTTATATGAGTACTTTTATCTTAAAATGACCTGTTGAAGGATAAATAAAGCTCATTGTTAGCTTACTCATATGGAGCTTTAAAGATGGATATTTTGTTGGATATATTTCAGAAGTTATAAAATTTGATCAATGTAAATTATCCATAAAAATTTTTCACATGAAATGAAAGAGGTTATCCATTAACAACCATTTCTGAAGTAAAATTAATCTTGCAGATAGACTAGTTTGTTTTTAATTTTCCACTCTAGTCTTTCTGTTTATGAATAAATTGGTTTTTTCAAACTATTTAGCACAGATTGAAACTTAGCACTGATACTGAGTTAATGATTAACAGTTCTTATTCATAGTAATACATTTAAATTATTGTTATATAATAAATAAATAAATAAATAAATAAATAATGACAATCTTTTGATTTTTTTATCATGATTATCTATTAAAAGTTGAATTTCATCAAATTATTTATATTCTAATCACTGTCATCATCATCAGTGTGTTCATATCCAAATGATGCAAGAGTTGATGGAATATTTAATGACTCATATTGCTGAATTAATTTATTTAGTGAACGGCTTGTATAGAATGATTCTGGATGATGATTATAATTCTCTGCATCTGAGAAGTCTTTTTCTGTTTTTATAAGTTCTTTTCGTTTAGCTTCTGCTAAATCAATAATCTTTATTTTTTCTATAGAAGGTTCACAGAAATATTCCCTAATAACAGAACGAAGTTCTTCAGCTGTTGGTCTATTTTCTGGTTTTGGATCCCAACATCTTTTCATCAATTCAGCATAAAATTCAGGGGTATCAACAGTGATTTGAGGTCTTTCTCCTTTTAAAATATCTGATATAAGGCAACTATTGTGTGGTCTATCATCAGTGTGTTCATATCCAAATGATGCAAGAGTTGATGGAATATTTAATGACTCATATTGCTGAATTAATTTATTTAGTGAACGGCTTGTATAGAATGATTCTGGATGATGATTATAATTCTCTGCATCTGAGAAGTCTTTTTCTGTTTTTATAAGTTCTTTTCGTTTAGCTTCTGCTAAATCAATAATCTTTATTTTTTCTATAGAAGGTTCACAGAAATATTCCCTAATAACAGAACGAAGTTCTTCAGCTGTTGGTCTATTTTCTGGTTTTGGATCCCAACATCTTTTCATCAATTCAGCATAAAATTCAGGGGTATCAACAGTGATTTGAGGTCTTTCTCCTTTTAAAATATCTGATATAAGGCAACTATTGTGTGGTCTATCATGAAATGGTTTCTTTCCAGTAGTCATCTCCCACATAATCATACCAAAACTGTAAATGTCTGATTCTTTAGTATATGGTTTTTTTGATAATACTTCAGGTGCAAGGTATGGAATAACTCCAAAGATTTCATCATTTTCACTTATTGTTTGTTGACATAGTCCTAAATCTCCTATTGTGCTAGTATGTTGGCCTGTTTCAATAAATTTACCATATGTGAAAATATTACCACTATGCAAATCATGATGAATGTAATTCTTTCCATGAATTTCACTTAATCTAATTCATATTGGCAATAATAAAAATCATTATTTTACTATAAATATTTATAATAATGAATTTAATAATAAAATTTATAACTTACCCAATTATAATATCAAGAATTGATTCAATTTTATCTTTCCAAAGAATTTTTTTAAAATAATTTTTAAGATTATTATGTAAGTTACCACGTGTGGCATAATTATTTACCAATAGATAATCATTCTCATTTGGACTTTTAGTAATTCCATAAAATGTGTTAACACAAAATCTAATTTCAGAATTTACTTTTAACTAAAAAAAATAATTATAAAATATATTTGTTAATATATAATAATAATAAAAATCATACCAGATTAATATTTTACCTCTTTTACAATATCTGAAATTTTATTACTAGAATCATATAATCTTTTCAATACAACTTCAGTCACTTCACCAAGTTCATTAGTCCATGTTGCCTTATGAACTTCTCCAAAACCCCCTTTATCTAGGTATTCAATGTTGCTAAATTCATTATATGGAATCCAGAGTATATTCAAACCATACCATTCATGTTTTTTGCATTCATAAAAAAATGTAGCTATTTCTTTATTTTCATACTTATCAGTTAATTTTTCAATTTGTTTTTCTTTGCAGCCATTGCATAGTATTTTTTTTTTAATTGCTTCATTAATAATAATAAATCTTTTAGCT